CCTCCTGTCACTTCATCTTTCTTCGGTCTAAATATTCTCCTAAACACCCTGTTCTCAAACACTCTCAGTCTATGTTCCTCCCTTAATGTCAGAGACCAAGTTTCACACACATACAGAACCATAGGCAAAATTATGGTTTTTTATATTTTAATTTTTATGATTTTGGACAGCAGGCGAGAAGACAAAAGTTCTGGACTGAATGGTAGCAAGCATTACCCGAGTGCAATCTCCTCTTAACTTCATCCTGAATTAGGTTGAAATTAAGAGGAGACTGAATTTGGGCAATGAACACAGTTAACATGATTGCAGAATATAAACTAATTTCTTGACGTACCCGAGCATTCACAGTTGCTTATGATAAACATGAGGACTACAAAAGGGTCTATTTTCAAAGACAGAAGAACTTAAATATTGAAGTTGTCAGGAGTATATTCCTCCTAAAGCTGGCAACTTCAATATTGAAATCCTTCTGTCTTTGAAAATAGACCCTTTTGTAGTCCTCATGTTTATCATAAGCAACTGCGAATGCTCGGGTATGTCAAGAAATTAGTTTATATTCTGCAATCATGTTAACTGTGTTCATTGCCCGAATTCAGTCTCCTCTTAATTTCAACCTGATTCAGGATGAAGTTAAGAGGAGATTGCACTCGGGTAATGCTTGCTACCATTCAGTCCAGAACTTTTATTATGCTTATGTTTCCAACAATTTTCCTTGACTTGATCATTCTGATTATTGGCAATATATATTGTCTATTAAAATTCACAATAATGTTGGTTCTTTTATAAGCCTAGGTTATAAATACATAGAGCTGCACTCTTGATCCACTTGCTCACGCTGGTTCCTCGCTAGATGATTTTTCTACTCCGAAGATGGAGGCGATACGTTCCTCCGAAACATCCGTTCAAATAAGATCTGCACGGCGCCACATCCCAGAAAACGGCATTCTTCTTAAACTCTGTTCGTATTTTAAGAAATTAACTCAATTCTTTTGTAATCTTCTAATACTAACTCCTGGATGGTCTGTTTCAGGTATCGTGTAATTTCGTCAAATTCTTGAGGGAGAGAGAGAGAGAGACAAAGGAAGAACAAAGAACTTGTGTCCGACAGATAATGCAAGTGATTCTGCTGCAGTTGTCAGTAATTCTACAAATTTGAAAGGGTCATCACTTCTATTAATATTTCGTGGAATTGTGGGAAGGTTATCATATTCTTAAATATAAATGATTCTATTCCAGGACTCTTATTTCTTGTCAGTGACAAACTGTAACATGAAAACATTCATCACTTGCCACTAATTACCTTTCCTAAGAATTACAGAAAATTATTTGTATCTGGAAATTAAAGACCACAGAATTTTAAGCTTTAGGGCTACAAGTTTGTAAACTGAAGAATTAAAACTATGTTGAGGTGAATGGAATGCATTCTTCTATCCTAACTCCTTTAATCCAAGTGCAGAGTGAAGTCATTTAATTATAATTTGTATCCAAAAATAAAACGATAACAAGGCCAATTGAGTTTATAAAATGGAGGATGCAGTTCAAAAAACACTTCCTGGAGCTAAAATAACTAATTGTGCCTCTGACAGCAAGCATTGTATGATGTATGTAAACACAGTGGTACCCATGTAATTACGCACTGTGGAGCACACCAAAGAGTTTCCTTGTATTCATGACCTGAACTGCCTTCTGACAAGACACAATCTTCACGATTTAGTTGTCTCTGTCCTCGGGAAAGATTCTGAATATATATCTACCACCTGCAAGACGACCTATCTTAGTGGGAATATCTGGAGACAGTTAACTTTTTAACTGTCCAACTCACATATAATAAAATTATATAGTTTGTAAAAAAAAATCTTAGAAAAACGGAAATTTACATATGTTCGATTTGAGGTTCTCACAACGGTGGTTATGAAGAGTGCTGTCATCTGAGATATAACGCAGAATAGTTCATTGATAACCGACCAACGTTTCGGGGAAACATATAGCTTCCATTTTCAGGGTCGAAGAATAAGCCAGCGTGAAAGGATGCGCCAAGCAAGGCCAAGTTGTTTACAACTAACTTTCACGCTGGTATCTTGATCAGTTTATTCGACCCTGAAGATGTAGGTGATATATTCCTCTGAAATATCGGTCGACTGTCAACGGACTACACGTCATTATATATCAGAAGAGGACCTCAAAGCCTACGTCTTCACAGCTGTCCATATTAATGTCTTATTTGTAATTACTCCACTTAGTGACTCTGTGAGTAGCCCAGATTTTACTCGTGCAGCATCAAATGATCGGATGAAAGTATGTAAATAATTGGAAAGCATATGGAAGAAAATTTTCATGGTCTAATTTAAGGTGTTATCCTGATATTTTTGTGGGTGCATCGCGTAAAACCACGGAAGAGCTCAGAATGATCGGCATCGTGGTCGAGAGTGGAGCCTGACAGCTCCTGAACTCAGGCGAAAAACCTTGTTACTGGAGCTGAGTTACTCCATATTGTCACCTGGATTGAATTATTTTAATTTGAACAAATATTTCAGAATGAAGAGTGTGTATACTAAGCCACAATCTATGTCAAGAATGCAGGAATATACGGAAAGGTACGAGTAGAGATCTTTTCAATTAAGTCTGACGAAAGTGCCTGAAATGAACCGCATTTGTCGAAAACACGTAAGGTAAAGTTAAAGTTGTCTCTATGTTTAACTAATTTAGCACTACGCCATAAAGGCGTATGGGGGAGCGGATGTATGACTCCACCAATATTTATCTCGACACTAGTTGGGAGTGGCCAGTTTAACGCCCTGGCCGCTTTAGCCCTGGGGAAAGAACTCCCGGTACCCTTTGAATAGGATGTTGGGTGGACTCCAGAGCCGGTCTGGACGACGTGGAGAAGAGGAAAGTCTTACTTCTACATGTCGAAGTCATGTAGATGTAATTTTTCATACAGCTAACTTAAGGCACGTCTCTATATTATGGTTCCATCTGTTGTATAGTAATCCAGTCAGTCAAGGGTTTACAATGCAAACAATTGTAATATTCCCACCGCAAA